GAAGTACTTCGGCGCCGCTGAGTATGTGCCGTGCCCCGAGGGAGAAGCAATCGATGCGGCGCTGGAGGGTTTCGAAGCAGGCGCGAAGATCAAGTGCCCGAAGTACGAGGAGGTGTGCACCATCGCCGCCAACGGCAGCAGCCTCGTTGTTCCGCGCGTGTTGAGTGGAGCCGAGCAGGCGAAGGGTGCGGCAGTTGAGCCGCCCGGTGCGGGGGGCCCTGCCGGGGCTGCCGGTGGAGATTCTTCCAGTCCGGAGGCGGCGGCGGGAGCAGCTGCTGCGTCCCCCGATGTGCCTGCGCCGCCCACCCCGACACCGGCGGCATCCGTCAACGGCAGCGACGTGGAGAAGAATCTTGACGTGGCGGCGCAGCAGGTCGGAAGCGACGTCGGTGCGGCTGCTGCGGCTGTTGGCTGCAGTTACTTTGCGCTGCTCGCCGTGGCCGCCGCGGCGGCGGTGGCGATGCTGCCGCCTTGAGCCGCGGCAGGAACGGCGGCGGCTGGGCGCCAACAAATTGCGGCGGGGGAATAATGAATATATACACACGCGCCTGTGTGCCCCCCGTGGAGCCCCGCACTCAGGCCGCAACAAAGCCGCATTACTAATAATACGATGCACTCACTCACTGCGCTACCCTTGTTTGCTCTTTTGAGGACGGAAAATAACATCAATTCTTGCTTTGCTTTGCTTGCGAGTGGCCGCAAAGCCGATATCTGTGTGTTGGGCGGACTTGCCTTGCGTGGAAGCTGTGTGTGGGCAAAAAATAAAAACATGTGTGAGAAAAAGACAAATCCCGGCATCACATAAATGCACAGGCACATGTCTGTTGCGGTGGGCGGGGGAGGGGAAGCCACTGTACTCTGAAGGGGGCGAGGACGGGTCGGTGACTGTTCCGCAGCGGGACAGGAGCGACTGCCTTTGCTCTCGCATTTCTTACACATGGGATTTTTCGTTTTTTTTTTCGTACCTCTCTTGCTTCCTCTCTCTCTCTTCCTGGACTGGGCTGTGCGGGAGCAGAGGGAGAGATGGGGTGTGTGTGTGCTGGTCGTCCCACGTGTTGCTGCGCGTCCCCGCTACTCGGTGGACGCGCCCCCACGCTTCGGCTCCACTTCACGGGTTTGTTTGTGTGTTTGTTGGTTGACTGCACCCACTGCGCGGGCTGCTGAAGTGTGATGTGTATGCGTGTGCCACAACGTGCGGGTGGTGGCCCTCTCTCTCCTCTCTCCTGCTGAATGTGGCTGCGTGGAGTCGTGTGTCTGTGTGCCTTTTTTTGTTGCTTCTCTCTCTCGTTCTCCCTTTGGCTGGCGGTGGGTGCTCAGCCGCAGCGCAAGCCAACAACAGCTGCGAAGGAA